GTGCAGCCTGGCAGGGCTGGCACTGCCAGGTAGGACAAAGCAAGCTGGGAAACTTATGGGGGAAAAGTCGATCCACCTGGGTTTTAATTATAGGGGGGGGGGGATAATTGTGTAAATCTAACTTTTCCCCCAGAGCTACAGAGAGAGATCTTAAAACTGTGTGTTCAAACACAACTCTGTTCACGTTGTTAGAGCTCTGCTGATTTACAGGAGTGTGTTCTAGCAGTTTCCTTTGTTTACTTTATCCACTGCAAGGTGGAATTGTGGTGCTGTACACAGGTTGTTGGATAAACGTGTGGTTGGACCATTGTATATGTGCACAGGCTGCTGTGAAATGCAGGATTCCCAGTACAGAGCTGCAAAGTCCGACTGAAAATAACCAAAACAGCTTTTCCTGAGGTTTCTGGGAAGGTGTTAATGTGTAAATGTGGGAGCTTAAACCCATACAGTGGAGAGCTTTTGCTGCATATAACCAAAATACAGCTGGCTTGTAGGTCAGCACCACTCAGTCCTCACTGCACCTCCACCATCTCCCAGTACTTGGCTGGAAAAAAAGGGGAAAGAAGGGAAAGTTTTTTGCAATCTGATTGTCTCTGAAGCCAGCAGTAAGAACAATCAGATCTCTTGGGAACTCTGCAGATGCACCTCCTTTTTCCTCTTTAAAAGTGTCCCCTAATCCCAACTCTTTGGCCTGTTAGTCCCTTCTGATGGGACAGCAATCCAACAAAGCTGCTCAATTCCAGCCTGTTTGGAGCCAGCCCCCAAGGCTCCCCAAACCCTCCCAGCTCTAGGACGAACTGTGTGTGAGCTGTAAGTACACACAACACTCTGGGGCACAGCTACAAAACCTCCCCATAGTTCCAGAGCTGTGCATGGCTCTGCACCCAGCTGTTGAATTTCCGTGTTTCTCTAAAAGCTTTGCCTGACTCCTCTGCAGGAGTATTTTTTGATAGAAAGCCCAACTCTGGTAGGATTAGATTTAGCATTTTAGATTACACTGATCTCCCTACCTACAAGTACAGTTTGTGATAGTTCAAGTCAGGATTGAGGTGGGGAGGGTTGCTGTGTTTTCCTGCAATAAAAGGACAGAAATGGGCCAGCCTTTAGGCTGAGTAGCTTTTTTAGATCAGCAGCAGCTCAGGAGCCAGTTGGGGTTGGTTTTAGTTCCCTTTTTAGCTCATGGATTATCAAATGCTCTTGGATCTCTCTGATAAGCAAAACCACGTGTAACCTACCCAGATATAATTATGTCTGACAATAAAAAAAAAAACCCTACCCCTAATTTTACATGCACTGGCTTAGAAGTAGTTTGAAAAGCTGGATGTGCACAAGGTTTGGCTCATTTTGTGATGGGTTGTAGCTTTCTTCACACCCTCAGGGCTTGCTTGTATTACAAGCTCAAACAAGATCTGGAAATGAGCAGTGGGGAAGTAACTTGTGCAACTTTGGTTCCCTGGATTAGAATATAATTTCAAAATTCATACTGCAGTCTGGGCACAGTTTCACATTCAGAACTGCATTTTCCAGTTGTGTCTTTTTTAACAGGATGAGACAACAAAGCTTTTTTTACTGTCAATATTTTTTTAAAAGCTTTCTCTGGAATGACACTGAAAATGGTGCATGTGGTCCTGGGAGGGCTTCTGCAATAGGTGAATGGTTGTCAAAACTGGCATTTGTTTCTTGATTTATTTTAGCTGGTTTTTGGACCAATGACAAAGCCATCTTAGCTGGTGTCAGCTTTGCTCCAGAGTACAGCTCCTGGTGGTGACGTGTTCCCTGGTGCCCACAGATTCTCTGCTGCTAGTGAGTCACCACCATCTCCCTTTCTTTGAGCACTCAAAACGTTGTTTTTTAGAAAAAAAACAAGATGAGCCTTATTTAAATTACCCTTAAGCTGCTGGTACTTGGGGTTTTTTTTTTCCTGCAGTAGTTTGGAAGGTGTAGTTACACTGTGGGTGCAATCACAGCTTCCTGAACTCTGCACAAGTTTGACTCTCTGTTGAAAGAGCTGTGTGAGATGTGTCTTAGCAGGAAAGTGCTCATGGTCAGGATGAAACTTTGAGATATGGATGTTAATTAGGATAATCCCACGTCTTACTTGCAACTGTTGTAGTGGCTGCAGAGCGCAGTGAAGCTGCACACCCAGAGAGGATTATTTTTACTTTGTACAATTGGCTGAAGCTCCACTTTAGATTCAGCATTTATTGTGAATAACATCTGCAGTGTTGATTTCTGAAAAGGGCACGAGGTGCCTTATCCCAGTTATATCTCACCCCAGCTACTTCAAATGAGGAGCTGCCACTTGAACCACAGGTGGAAAAAATACATCCTAAGAACTACAATATTTCAAGGTCACCTGATTATTTTTGTTTTGAAGAGCTGCATTTGGGCACCTCACCTCAGATGAGCTCATGTTCATATGACTAAGTATCCCCCGGAATCCCATGAAACAAGAGAATTTTGAAGATAATCCATGTGGATCTTAGAGCACATAGAAAAACTGGCTGCAGAACAAGAAAAACAGTCTCATTTTATTTGCAGAGGCTTTATCTGAGAAGGTCTGTTGGCTTTTACCACGTTCCTTTGCTGCCTTCCTGCTTCCCATGCACACACACAGGAAAAGCGTGCCATGGATGTTCTGATCATCCCATCTGTCTCAGAGGAGGAGAGCCTGTGAGTTGTTCCAGGTAGTGATTTAGCTCACAGCAGCGATTTTTAAATGTTACTGTGTGCAAAAGCGCTGGTTCTCAGCACTGTGCGGTGAGGGAAGGAGGGAAAGCAAGAGGGCATTCACATCTTCCTCTCCCAAATCCTGAAAACTTTGAGTGTACCTGTCCTGAATCCTCTCCCTGAATCCCCTGGAAGGAGGTTTTTCTTATATATATGTACAAGAATATATGTGTGTACATATATATATGTAAGAATATATGTATATATGTCTGAGATTTCATGCTTAGGGTTACATGCAGCTCAGGCCAGCACATGTTATCATATCTGCAAAGAACTTTTGCCACAGCAGGGACTCCCCAAAACCTTGGTTAAGCTGGACCACACACAGAAAATCAAAACTGCCAAAAGTCTCAATGTTTGTGTTGCATAAAGAATTTAGTAGCCTGAGGAAGAGGAGAATGGTGACTGTACAGACTGAGCAGGTAGAGAGGAGGTTGAGGCAGCTGTCACCTCATCAGTGAACATGTTTTTTGAGAAAACCAGAGGCTGCAGATCATCTCCATCTAAAAAAATATTGAGAGAATTAAATATGGAATTACAAGTGTGGTCTGAGGATTCGGGGGTGGTGTCTGAATTCTGGGATCAGGGCAGGAGAGTGGCAAATGTGGGGACTGTACTCACAAACTGTGAGAGAGGTCGGCAGAGGCAGCACAGCTCCAAGTGTGATCCCAGCCACGGGGAAAGCTGTACAACAACTTCTGAGGGAGAAAAACCTGGTGAACAAAGAGGAAAGTGTCAGAAATGACACCGGGGGGTTGTCAGGAGAACATTCTGCAGAGAAGTCCTTCTCTAGACGGCAGAACTGATTTCCTCACCAGAGGCAATAGAGCAGAGTTAATTAACTGGAGCCTTGACTCAAAGCACATCAATGAGCATGGGAATGAGGGGATTCCTGCAGGAATTCTGTGGAGCAGGCTGGGGCAGCAGGGCATCTTTTGGGGGTTGTTTGTGTACATTAAATGCCATATTCTCAGCATGCTGGAGGGGACTCTCCTTTTTTTCCCACTGGTTGTCTGGTATCTGATCCTCCCATGGACATTCCATAGTAACAAGTAAATGTACATATTTACTCACTGTAGGTGTGTCTGTGTATGTGTGCATTCACATATACACATTCAAGTGTTCAAATGAATAAGGAATAGTAAACAGGTGCTTATTATTACTCATTCATTTGACTGCTTGAATATGTATGTGTGTGTATATATATGCACATATATATATATATACACATAAATCATAGAAGGGTTTGGGTGGGAAAGGACTTTAAAGCTCATCCAGTCCCACCCCCTGCCATGGGCAGGGACACCTTCCACCAGCCCAGGTTGCTCCAGGCCCCGTCCAACCTGGCCTTGGACACTTCCAGGGATCCAGGGGCAGCCACAGCTTCTCTGGGCAACCTGTGCCAGGGCCTGCCCACCCTCAGAGTAAAGATTTTTTTTCCTACTATCCCATCTAAACCTGCTGTCTTTCAATTCAAGCCCCTCCTGTGCACACACAGCAGCCCAGACCCACCTGGTGTTTGGGGTCCTGGTGGTGTTTATTATTTGGGGTCCTGGTGGTGTTTATTTGGGGTCCCAGTGGTGTTTCTTTGGGATCTCTGTGCTCAGGGGTGTTTGTTTGAGGTCTCTGAGTTTGGCGGTATGTATGTGTTTGGGATCCCAGCGGTGGTTATTTGGGATCCCAGCCGTGGTTTTGGGATCCCAGACATGTTTTTGGGATCCTAGTGGTGGTTTTTTGGGATCCTAGTGGTGGTTTTTTGAGACCCTAGCCGTGGTTTTGGGATTCCAGTGTTGGTTTTGTGGGATCCCAGCCGTGTTTACTTGGGATCTCAGCGGTGTTTTTTAACATCCCAGCCGTGTTTCTGGGATCCCAGCCGTATTTTTAGGATCCCAGCCGTATTTTTAGGATCCCAGCCGTGTTTTTCTGGGATCCCAGCTGTATTTTTGTGATCCCAGCCGTATTTTTAGGATCCCAGCCGTGTTTTTGGGATCCCAGCCGTGTTTTTGGGATCCCAGCCGTGTTTTTCTGGGATCCCAGCCGTGTTTTTTTGGAATCCCAGCCGTGTTTTTGGGATCCCAGCCGTATTTTTCTGGGATCCCAGCCGTGTTTTTGCGATCCCAGCCGTGTTTTTGCGATCCCAGCCGTGTTTGTTCCCGGTGTGTCCCGTCCCCCCTCAGGCTGGGCCCGGCCCGGCCGGCAGGGGGCGCTGCGGGCAGGCTGCTCAGCCGATGGCCGATGTGGGGGCGGGCAGGCTGCTCAGCCGCGCGCCGATGTGCGCGGGGGCCATGGCGCTGTGGCGGGGGCTGCGCTGCTGCCGCCGCGCCCTCGCCTGGCTGCCCGTGCTGCTCATCGCGCTGCTGCTGCTCTGGTCCTACTACGGATACGTCTGCGAGCTCTGCCTCGGTGAGCGCCCGCCGCGGGGAGAGGGGCCCGCCCGCCCCGGGCCCGCCCCAGGCCGGCGGGTCCCCGCGGGGCTGCGCCGGGCCGGGGCTGCGGGCGATCCCCCCCCCTCCTCCTCATCCCCCTCATCCTCCTCATCCACCCCCTCCTCCTCCCTTTCTTCCTTATCATCATGCTCCTGTTCCCCCCTCTTCTCTTCTTCTTCTTCCCCCTTCTCCTCCTCCTCATCATTCTTCTCCTTCTTTCTCTTCCTCCCCCTTCTCCTCATCCTTCTCCTTCTTCTTCCCCTCCCCTTCCTCCTCTTCTTCTTCTCCTTCTCCTCTTCCTCCTTCTTCTCTTCTCCTCATCCTTCTCCTCCCCCTCGTCGCTTCTCGCCAGTGTGTCCAGGTGTTCCCGGTGTGTCCGGGTGTTCCCGGTGTGTCCGGGTGTTCCGTGGGTGTCCAGGTGTTCCGTGGGTGTCCAGGTGTTCCCGGTGTGTCCGGGTGTTCCGTGGGTATCCAGGTGTTCCCAGTGTGTCCAGGTGTTCCCGGTGTGTCCAGA